TTATTTAAAATACCGGTGGCATAGCCCTCAGAATCACAGCAACTCACAAGCCACCACAGTATGACAGACAGATGAGTGAGTGGTGGCCATTTGGTTTTATGTCGAAATTGTCACTTTAAATTTTGAAGAGATCTGTGCGCATGTGTACTAGAACCTTCCAGGGGTGGGGGTGGGGTATCCATTCGCACAGCTATCCCCTCTAGTTACCAGAATGGAGGTGCACAATCAGCAAGAGACCAATGAACAATGAACAGATACCATAAAAAAGAATGTCCAAACCTGTATCTCCTCGGTTCTGTCAGGCATTCGTGCCTGTTCTGATCCTTCCCCCACTTATTCTTTCCCAAGATGGTGGCTCCGGGAATCACTGAGCATCTTGAATTAGAAAGCAATGGATTTTGTGATTCTCCTACAAATTCCCCTAGCTGTAAGCCTTCCAATCTTCTGAATCTTCCTTTATATGTGGTTCAGAGTTCTAGCACCATCCCCTGAGCCTTCTTGGCCTGGTATTCTGTGTTGTTGGTGACGGAGCTCCTCACTGCACATCTACCTGACCTGCCATCTTGATTGTCTGTGATATAAACTGTAGATATTTTTCCTACTTGTCATTTGTCTTTCTACTGTGCTTAAAATTTTTGTTTCGCTCATCTAAAACTTGTAAGCTTTTATGAGGTCAAATTTGGTTCCCATTACTATGTTTCTGAATTTTGATTTACAGTTTGGGAAGTTTTTCTTATTCTCAATATATATTCAATCAGTGCTTTTTAATTTTTTCATTTAAATCTCTGATTTATTTAGAATTTATTTTGGTCTTTGGTATGAAGGATAGATCCAATTTTATCTTGTTCTATATGTGCCTGACCCAGGCTGTGGTATTTTCAGTAATCTCATATGCATGTGAAAGCTGGACAGTGAATAAGGAAGACTGTAGAAGAATTGATGCATTTGAGTTATGGTGTTGGAGGAGAATATTGAAAGTGCCATGGCCTGCCAAAAGAACCAACAGATCTGTGTTGGAAGAAGTGCAGCCAGAGTGCTCCTT